CACCGTAACCCCCCAGCAATCCCCGTGCAGCCAATCCGAACGCAGCTCTGTTCACCAATGTGCTTAGTTAGCCCCGGGAGGGACCCTGTGTGTGTGTGTGTGTGTGTGTGTGTGTGTGTGTGTGTTGTCCCTGCGAATGCGTGTGCTGACATGGGCGTGGGTCTGAGTGCGCCCCTGCCGCCTCTCGCTCGGTGTGGGAGTGAAAAATCCTGGCGTTTGATCGGAGAAGTCATAAAGTCTGGAGTCGTAGCCACACTTCCTCTACAAGGTGAGGTTCAGAGTCGACCCAGAGGAGGGGGAGGAGTCGGCGCGGAGGGGATGAGGAGAGGTGACACGCCTCGCATCGACTCCCTTCGTCCCTCCATTCCTCCCGCCTGTACCTCCACCCCGTGCCTGGGGAGTCTGGAGCTGGGTGGGGGCCAGGGCTCCCGACGCCAGCCTCTGGACTCTGCGCTGAGGGAGAGGTCACTTGGCTTGCTTACACAATGGCATTATCTCAGTTCCAGCCTCGGCTACTGCAGCGGTGAGCACTTCCTGTCACTCTGCAAGCACTTCCTGTCCTTGGCGTAGCAGCACAAATTGTCCGCCTTCCAAGTGAGTTCTGAAACACAGTTGAGTCGCTGGTCGCCAGGCCCTCTGTCTAAATGTCTGTGGGTGGTTTTCTTGGGAATTGCACAATGTGTTTGCTGGCTCCTTTGTGCTGAGCCGCGGAGCAGCAGTGTTGGTTTAAATCACAGGAACTGAAGGTATATATGTGTTAGCACTCTGCTCTAATCCCAAGAGCCAGTCGAGCTGCGCAGGCCTCAGCCGGACAAAGTTACAGAGTTCAAACAATACTCTGCTAATGAGCTGAAAGCGCTGAAGGCATTGTCTTTTTTTCCACTTATGCAGTGTAAGACCACAWCAGTCATTTAATACATTGGAAATCATTTTGACAACTGCTTAATTGACAAAGCAATTGATTTCAAACATGTAAATAGTACTTTTTTTACTGATTTTTTTCTGTTGAATATGTCAAAAAAACTATTTTATGACATAACTTTGTTAACACAGTTTCTTGCAAAGGTTGAAACATAATTTTCACATGTCTGGACTAGGGCTGCCACAAACAATTTTTTTTATAATTGATTAATCACCGATTATTTTTTCAATTAGTCGACTAATCGGATCATACGTTAATTGAATATAAAACATAGAGCTTATCACGCCAGAATACAGCTGCTATTATATAACCATCGTTAGATTTTAGCTATATGCTAACTAAAAATAATTGCTGTGGAAGACAAGTTCTGCTCTGCAGATATTGAACAGGTTTCTCTTTCATTTACTTAAAATGATCCCACACTTTTGAGCTCCGTTGCTGGGTAGCCATGATACCAAAGCCTGTCTGTATAATGTCTTGTGACGTCCACAGCCTACCCCAGTTACCACTACTGTGCATGTGTGTCAGGGACAGAAAGGTAGATGTGGCAGTGGAAGGTGTCAAAGCAGTTTGGAGAGAAAAAACAAAATAAAGAACAAAAAAAAAAAGAAAACGATTAATCGATTATTAAATTAGTCATCGATTATTTTAATAATCGATTAGTCGTCGATTAATCGATTAATCGTGGCAGCCCTAGTTTGGACTACAATAATACAAAGATTAARTAAACAAAGAATAATGAGTCGAGCTGCAGATAAAGTCAGATATTCTGGTTGACAGTCATGTGCAATCCAAACAGTCATTATCAATATTCAACAGTTTTAAACAACGGTGGAGCTGTGCAGATATTTCCAACTGCACAAGAATATGAGATGATGAAGAGAAGAACTGTACTACATTTATGACAACTAACTTGACCTAATACTCCAGAAATAAATCAGTTATTTAATCACTTATAGTTGTCGTTCAGAACCAAAAGGGATTAATAATTTCTTGTACCAGTTTAATTTGCAAATTGACATCTAGAATATTTTTTTTCTCAGTGACAACAAAAGTTGTGTTTTAGGACAAGAATTTGTATGAGATTTTTCTCGACAGTTTCATTAATGACATTTAGACCAAATTACCAAACAGTACAATTACAACAATTAATGAATGAGGGGTGCAAAAATCCTTCTGACCTATTGGGACTTGAGGGATCTGGATGGTCAGGTGGGTGGTCTGATGAGTTCCCTGAACTCACACTTCTTCAGCTGTTCCTCCAGGTTTTGCTACACAGAAACCATGTCAACTCTTTGTTATGGGATTTTCGTTGTTTTCCTCTTTAAAAGGTGGACAATCATGTAACCACAAGATGAATTTTAATGAAACTRTCAGAAAGCAATCCTTGATCGTACATCTACAACTGATTAACTTCTGGAATTAACTGAGTTTAAGAAGTCGACCTTAGTCAACTCAAGAAAGAAGGTTATCTCAGCCAGTTTTACAGATATGGAGTAAATTTTTGGTACAATAGTGGCTGAGAGTCAACTCCAACACATACTCTCAGCTCTAACAAAARGTGTGGACTCCTAAGTTTAAAAGGATCAGTCATACTCAGTTTTCAACAATGAAGAGAACGTCAAAATACAAATTTATATTTGTTCACAACAAATAGGAGTTTTAGTAATWTTTTCTTTATAACAGCTCTTTTAAAGACAAGATAATCTAATTTTGAGTAAATCTGTGAGATCTATTATTTAAAACACGTTTTAAAATTGAGATTTGGAACTATGGACTAAGACATAAAAATGAATAAAAACAACATTGTTT